ATAAAATATATTGTGGGCCTAGCATTCCAGTTCCTGTGTGGGGAAGTTAGTTTCAAGTCAAGCACGGCGGCCCATGCGTGTAATCCTAGTTACTCAGGAGGCCAAGGCAAAAGGATTGCAAATTTAAGGCCTGTCTGGGCAACTGAGAAAGATCGTGTCTCAAAATAAAATAAAGGCAGACAGGAGGTGATGGCTCACGCCTTTAAACCCAGCACTCGAGAGGCAGAGGCAGAGGCAGAGGCCAGAGGGCAGAGGGCAGAGGCCAGAGGGCAGAGGCAGGTGGATCCCTGACTTCAAGGCCAGCCTGGTATACAGAGTGAGTTCCAGGACAGCCAGGGCTACACAGATAAACTCTGTCTTGAAAAAAAAAAAAAATAGAATAAGGGCAGTGGCTAGAGCCAGAGGGTCAGAGTGCTTGCCACACAAGTGTGATGGCCTGAGTTACCTGTGATTTTGCCCCCTCTTCCTCTGTGTCTGTGTAGCCCTGGCTGTCCTAGAACTCATTCTGTAGGCCAGGCTGGCCTTGAACACACAGAGATCTACCCACCTGCCTCTGTCTCCTCAGTGCTGAGATTAAAGGCCTACACTTCCACCGCCTGGTTCTGGGGGTGTTTTTTTTTTTTTAGGGCATTTCAGGGAGGCTTACTGACAGAGAGAGTAGCATCTGATACAGAGGAGTCTCTGAATGGTGTGAGCAGGAGCCACATGAGGTTGAATAGTGGAAAATGAGGCTGTGCAGACAGGAATAAAGGAAAAGGGACATCTTGAGCACCAGGACACTCACAGAAAGTGGGGTATTTGGGGGGACCTAAAGCAAGTCAGAACAGCTGGAGAGCCAGACAGGGAAGGATGGTGGAGACAAACCTGAAAGGAAGACACAACACTCAAACTGCTTTGAGTGTGGAGAAGGGCCTAGGAAGGAACTTATTTATTTAGAGACAGGGTTTCTTGTAGCCAGGGCTGACCTCAAACTAACTTTATAGCCAAGATGGCCTTGAGGTTCTGAGCCCCCTGTCCTATTTCCCTAGTATTGGAGTTATAGGCTTGAGCCACTGTGCCCAGATTTTCAGAGGTTGAGGGTCAAACCCAGGTTTTCATGTCTGCTAGACAAGTTGTCTACTGACAAAGCCAGATCCCAGGCCTGTATCCCTCTTCCTTGAGTGCCTGTTATGGCCTAAGAGTGCACACATATATCATTTGACTTAATCTTTGTGTAAATCCTGTGAGGGAAGGTAAACACTCCTATCCTACTGTTAAAATAGCTGTTCAGAGGACTTAAGTTATTTAGAGGGAAGCAACGATTGCCTTTCACCTTCGGCTCCCATACAGAAGGACCTGGGCCAGTGGTGACAACATGGAGAAAGCAGGTACACTTGCATTTTATCCAGCACAGTAGTGTCGGGGCAGATGAGTTAGCCAACATAGAGATGAATGTGCAAAAGCCAAGCCAAGCACAACAAGGAAATAGTTCAAGAATCAAACAGTATCCAGAAGTCAGGTTGTCAGAGCCAAGGAAGGTAAAGTTTACATAGCCAAAACTTCACCAGTAATTGTTTCAAAGGCCAAGTCCATCATTGCAGCTGGACCAGCAGAGTGGGGAAGAAAGCCAGGGAACTTCAGATGTGGGCAAGCTACCAGCTAAACCTCAAGCTGCTGGCCTGGCTGACATTCAAAATCTAGGAATTTGGGGATAGCAATGACACAAGGAGCCAAGCTTTGTTGTTTGTTTTGAGATGGGGGAGAGGGGAGGGGTCTCTTGCTGCCCAGATTGAGCTTGAACTTGCTCTGTAGCTAAAGAAAACTTTAAACTCTCCATCTTCCTCTTCCATCTTCTGAGTGTGGATGACACCATGCCTAGCTTTATCTCCTTTTTCTTTTAATTTTTATGAACTTTATTTTAAAAGCTTGTGAATAAAATAAACATCACATATCAAATCCATTTTAAATATAATTATTTAGCCTTATTTTATGTAATGTTTTGATTTGTTTGTTTGTTTGTTTTTCAAAATACGGTTTCTCTGTAGCTTTGAAGCCTGTCCTGAAACTTGCTCTGTAGACCAGGCTGGCCTCGAACTCACAGCGATCGGCCTGCCTCTGCCTCCCCAGTGCTGGGATTAAAGGCATGTGCTCCAGTACCACACAGCTAATTTAATGTATGTGAGTGTCTGCCCTCACTATTTCATGTATTTGGGTGTTAGCCTGAACACATGTATGTGTGCCACATATATTCCTGGTGTCGGTGGAAGTGAGGACAGTGGGGTCATGGATGGTTGTGAGCCACTGTGTAGAACCTCCTGGAAACCAAACCCAGATCTTCTGCACAAACAGCCAGTATCCTCAACTGTCAAGCCATCTCTCTAGGCCCCAAACCCATTTTTAAACACATGAAGAAGCTAAGGCTGACGCATAGTAGACTGTTGGGTAGAGGTCAGAACTGGAACTATGTGGTCTGGAAAGATAACTCAGCTAGAAGTGTGTGTTGCACAGGCCCGAGGAACTGAATTGTGATCTCTAATAACCCCTGCACTGGGGAGGTAAAGATAGGCCAATCCTCAGAACTTACTGGCCAGACATTTTACACAGTCACTGGGTTCCACATGAATGGAGGAACATTGCTCCTACACTGCACCTCCAAAAAAATGGAGTCAAGGGGCTTCTGAAGAGTCAGCTCAGTGACAAGAGCATTTGTTGCTTTTACAGAGGACACTGCTTCTGTTCCCAGTGCCCACATGGCAGCTCACAACTCTAATTCCAGGGGAATCTAACACCCACCTCTGACATTTGTGGGTACCAGGAACACACCAGAGATACAAACATACATTTATACAGGCAAAACACATAAAATAAAAATTAAAAACAGGCCAAAAAACCCCAAAACAAAACAAAACAAACAAACAAACAAAAAAACCAGCAGGGTTTCTTTGCATAGCCCTGGGTGTCCCAGAACTTGCTTTATGGACCAGGCTGGCCTTGAACTCAGACATCTACCTTTTTCTGCCCACTGAATGCTGGGATTAAAGACATACTACCACAACTGGCTATTTTTAAAATTTATTAATTTTTACGTGCATTGACATTTTTGCCTGCATGTATGTCTGTGCAAGGGTGCCAGATCACAGACAGCTGTGAGCCGCCATGTGGGTGCTGGGAATTGAACCTGTGTCCTCTGGAAGAACAACAGTGTTCTTAATCACTGAGCCATCTCTTCAGCCCGCCAATTTTTTTTTTTTTTAATGAGGTAATCTCTGTCCTGGAGAGGCACCCACATGAACATGCACTCATGTGTACATGTGTACACACTCCCACATACACATATATTACCACACAGGAACTGGAATGCTAGGCCCAAGCTTTTTTGTTTTATATAAATTCCATCCTTCTTTCTGCTATGGAAACAAACCAGTTAAAGAAGTCTTCTGACTTAATTTGCTTCTCTGTTGCTGTGATAAAACACTGCCAAGAGCAACTTGGAGAGGAAAGGGTTTGTTTGGTTTACAGGCTTCAGTCCATCATCAAGGTAGGACCTCAAGGCAGGAGCTTGAAGTAGTAATGATGGAGGAACACTATTTACCAGCTGGCTTCCAGGCTCACATCACATACACCGCAGGACTACCTGACCAGGGGTGATGCCTTCACAGTGGGCTGGCCTCTCCTCCATCAATTAAGAATATGCTGTCACAGGCCAACCTGATGGAGGCATTTCCTCAGTTCAGCTTCCTTCTTTCCAGGAGGCTCTAGTTTGTGTTGACACATGGCAGAATGAGCCCTGTTACAATGTTTGGCCCTCTTTAGAGAGGGTCTAGCTACTAGAATAAGGCTGGGGTTCAGCGGGAGCTAGAAAAGTGTGATGGCATTGTTATCAGGAGTACAGACAGAATCAGAGTGGTGGAGGTAAGGCCGGGAGATCAGAAGATGGACAGGCCTTTATTGGATGTGGAAGGTTATGGAGAAATGGTTGGAGTCAGAGCCCAGTGCAGGCATGAGACATGGAATCAGTTAACTGCGCTCCCAGCAAAGTGTTAAGAGAAGGCTAAGCAGAAGTAAACCAGGATAGAGAATAAATCGTGTTTAGGATTTCAACTCTAGGAGGCCTGGTGACACCCTAAAGAGTGGGGGACAGTGACGTCCTCATCTGCAAGCAAAATGGAAGGAGCAGTGAGAAACCGAGAATGGCGGTTGCAGAGAGAACACGCGTGGGTGGTGCAGCCTCAGCAGACACTCTCGGGGAAGGGGTGGGGGTTGCATGCTGAAGGAGGGACTCCCAGACTTGAGGACTGGAGAAAGCATTAGCAACCTGACAGAACCCTGTTAACAAAGGAGGGACTACATCTCCCAGCATGCTCGGGTTCGGTGGGGTGACGGCGGGCGGTGGCTGCGCCGCATCCGACTGGTGGGCGCGGGACCTGGGTGAGCACCCGAGCCTGTCATCCCTGAGGGGTCGGCGAGGTGCGGGTGGCGATGCACCGGTGTCCCTCGCACAAGGGCCGCGCCGGGCTCTTGATCCCCGCCCCGCGGCCCCGCCCCTTACCCCATCCCAGCCGGGAGACCTAGCCCGGGCCGCAGCGCAGCGGCCACAGCAACATCATTCTCGCCGCCGCTGCCCCGCCCCAACCCCTTCTGTTTTTCTCTCATTCTCCGGTGGTGGCGGCGGCGGGGAAGGCGCCGGAGAGGCAGCAGCCGCCAGCTGTGTCTGCAATGAATGATCCCCCAGCCGGAGGGGAGGACTCCAGGTGAGCTTCTGTCCTCGGGAGGATCGAGATTCCCGGGCCGCCCAGGTCCCGCATCCCCCGCCATGGATCCCTAGGGGAAAGGGAAAAGGAGGAGGAAAAGACAGCTCCGCCGCCCACCCCTATCACATTTTCCTCTTCCTTTATCTCATTGTTGCTGAAGCTGTTTACCGTAGCGCTCCCATTTGCCCCAGTATGGGGCGGGTTCCAGGCACTGCCCTTCGTCAGGAGCTGCTTGAGCGGTTGCCTGGGGATTCTACCTAATTCTACCTCTCCAGTCTGTGCATAGAAAGCCGTGGAGAGTTGTGGAGGCCTAGACTGCAGCAACCTCTGGGCCAACTCCCTGCATCCCCACCCTGGGAGGCTGCATGCGTATTGAAGAGCGGTGTTTGGGGGCTGGGCCAGCCTGGCTGATCCCGACCTAGGAGTAGGAGAGGAGGACCTCTCAGGCTGCAGAGTGGCCCTTCTGGAAGGACAGAGCCGCAAGATGGCCAGTAAGACCAAGGCCAGCGAGGCCCTTAAGGTGGTGGCCCGGTGCCGCCCCCTCAGTAGGAAGGAGGAGGCTGCTGGTCATGAGCAGATTCTGACCATGGACGTGAAACTGGGCCAGGTGACTCTGCGAAACCCCCGCGCGGCACCCGGGGAACTGCCCAAGACCTTCACCTTTGATGCTGTGTATGATGCTAGCTCCAAGCAGGCGGATTTGTATGATGAAACGGTGAGGCCCCTGATAGACTCAGTGCTTCAGGGTTTCAATGGCACCGTGTTTGCCTATGGCCAGACCGGCACCGGCAAGACCTACACTATGCAGGGGACCTGGGTGGAGCCAGAGCTCCGCGGGGTTATCCCCAACGCCTTTGAGCATATCTTCACCCACATCTCCCGCTCCCAGAACCAGCAGTACCTGGTTCGTGCCTCCTACTTGGAGATCTACCAGGAGGAGATCCGAGATCTGCTATCCAAGGAGCCAGGCAAAAGACTAGAGTTGAAGGAGAACCCTGAAACTGGGGTCTATATCAAGGACCTCTCCTCGTTTGTCACCAAGAATGTCAAGGAGATTGAGCATGTGATGAATCTGGGGAACCAGACACGGGCAGTGGGCAGCACCCATATGAATGAGGTCAGCTCCCGGTCCCATGCCATATTTGTCATCACAGTAGAGTGCAGTGAGCGCGGCTCAGATGGTCAGGACCATATCCGAGTAGGCAAGCTCAACCTAGTAGACCTGGCTGGCAGTGAGAGGCAGAACAAGGCAGGTCCCAACACAACTGGAGGGACAGCCACACAGCCCGCAGCTGGTGGTGGCAGCGGCGGTGGCAGTGGTAGTGCTGGTGGCAGCAGCGGAGAGAGGCCCAAGGAAGCCTCCAAAATCAATCTCTCACTGTCAGCTCTGGGTAATGTGATTGCTGCTCTGGCCGGCAACAGGAGCACCCACATCCCCTACCGCGACTCCAAACTGACCCGGCTGCTCCAAGACTCACTGGGGGGCAATGCCAAGACCATCATGGTGGCCACACTGGGTCCAGCTTCTCACAGTTACGATGAGAGCCTCTCTACCCTACGCTTTGCAAACCGAGCCAAGAACATCAAGAACAAACCCCGTGTGAATGAAGACCCCAAGGACACACTGCTGAGGGAATTCCAGGAAGAGATCGCTCGCTTGAAGGCCCAGCTGGAGAAGAAAGGGATGCTGGGTAAGCGACCTCGGAGAAAGAGCAGCCGAAGAAAGAAGGCTGTGTCAGCCCCAGGGGGTTACCCAGAGGGTCCAGTGATTGAGGCCTGGGTGGCTGAAGAAGAAGATGACAACAATAACAATCACCGTCCACCCCAGCCCATTCTGGAGTCAGCGCTGGAGAAGAACATGGAGAATTATCTGCAGGAACAGAAGGAGCGGCTGGAAGAGGAGAAGGCCGCCATCCAGGATGACCGCAGCCTAGTGAGTGAAGAGAAACAGAAGCTTCTAGAAGAGAAGGAGAAGATGCTGGAGGATCTGCGGAGGGAGCAGCAGGCCACAGAGTTGCTTGCAGCCAAATACAAGGTAAGGATCCCAGAGGACTAGAGAGGTCCCCACAAGGATTTTGATTGGTAGATTTTCTTTCCTTTGAGGGCCTGTGAGTTGGTCTGAAGTGGACCACATTCTGATAACTGTCCCAGAGCAGCTAAGCAAAGCTCTGTGATACTAAGTAGCCAGGTACACTCACATACATACACACACACCAAGCAGAGTGGCAGGTTCTTGAACCAGTGAACTTGAGATGGTCTGATCAGCTGCTGTCCATCTCTCCAAATGGCCCCAGGATTGGTCAGGTCTACAAGAGTCCCATGCAGGAATCTCCTCTTGTGAGTGTGGCTTCTCGTTCATTATGGCCTCCTCCCTTGATACTCTTCCCCCCACCCCAGTGTCTTCAGACCTCATATCATATTGATAGCCTCTGACTTCACAGTTTACAAAATACCCGTTGCATCTCACCTTGTCACATCTTCACAAGGGCCATTCAACATAGTGCCTTTTAAATCCTCATCTTATGGGTGAGTAATTAAGGCTCAGGCTCAGAAAGTGGCAGGACCAAGGTTCCATTCTTTGGAGCTGTAGAGCTGAACTGGCAGACTTCATAGTTTTAGTCTTAAGTAGCAAGGCCAGACCATGAGGGTAAGAGAGTCCTGCTTCCTATGGGAATATCCCATTGTATGACACAGTGCCAGGCCTACTCCTAGTGACATTAGGAAGGAGACTCAAAGTGTCATGTAGGAAGTAGGATGGAGAGAGAGCTGGGCTTTATCCCAGAGACCAAGAGTCTTTGCCTCTTAGGCAACAGCTCAGTGAGTGAGTGGTTGTGTTTTCCCTTTTCCTCTTACCTCCATTTCCCTTTGTATAAAGTAGGATGCTAGCCTGGGGGGGGGGGGGTCACCGAGCATCTACCTATCTAATAATTCTATGGCCCATATTAATCTGAGAAAAAAAGAACAAAACATTTGGTCTACACAATGAAGCCTTCTGTCAATCATGTCCAATTCCCCATTGTCCTGAGAGTTGTCGGGGCTTCAGCATCCTTCGGGGCTTCAGCATCCTTCCTTAGCTGACCACTTCTGGGAGAACCTCTGGCCCTACATGGGGCTAGGTTACTGAGTTAATCATAGACCTGTTAAATTACTTCCTGTTTTTTTCCCCCTTATTTTTTTTTCTTCTTTGTAAATAGAATCTCACATAGTCTAGGCTGGCCTAGAACTCTTTATGTAGCTGAGGGTGACCTTGAACTAATTATCTTCCTGCCTCCATCTCCTGATTGCTAGGATTACAAACAAGTACCATCACCATTCATGGTTTTGTGCACAGTTGGAGATCAACCCCAGAGTTTTGTGCATGCTAGAAAAACATCTACCAACTGAGCTATATCCTCAGCTGCCTGTTAAATCTCAGTGCTACAATGTCACAACCCAGTGTCCTAGGCATTTCCGGATCCCTGGAGCCTTCAACACTGGGGTTGGAGGAAAAATATGGAGAGCCATGAGCTTGCTTGGAGGATCAAACACTGCCATTTCTTATTTCCTCTTAGGAATGTGAGATAGGAATGGGGAGGCCCAGCCCAGAGCCAGTGGAAGATTGACAATTGAGCTGTGTGCACTGTCTGTGTACTAGCATATGCTGCTGCACCAGGGGCTGTGGCCTGGCTTGTTTAATATTTAATTCACTCATGAAGAAGCTCAGCCAGGGTTATACTGAGCTGCTTCCTCGAGGGAAGGATCAGGTCTGGTACCTGGGAGATGCAGGATATTAAAGGCAAAGCTGCCAGTCCAGTCTTGTCTGGAAGGGAGAGAATCTAACATGCAGGGTGGTGTTATTGAGTGGAAAATTCTATCTGGCCCATCAGTCATTGATTTCTCTTCCAAGGTACCTCTTACCGTGTTAAGCTGGGAGGCAGTAGGGATAACAGAGGCTAATAAAGGAAGGAAGTACAGATGGGTATTTCAAATGTTCTTGTTGGGAACTGACTGGTATCTTTCCATAAGATTTTTGCATCTAAGGCAATGTAAGAACACAGGTAATAGGACAGTCAGGGAGTCAGGGTGGAGTTGTACATAGTGGCATGCATCTGAAGTTTCAGTTGCTTGGAAGACTGAGGTAGAATAGTTCAAGCTTAGGAGTCAAGGCCAACCTGAACAACATGATGAGACTCCGTTTTGAAAATAAACACACAGACAGATAAGTCGATAGAATGATCAATACAAAGATATGGATGGCCAGAACTGGACTTCTTACACTAGGTGTTTACCCCACACAACATTATGTTATTGCTGGCAGGGGCCATGGAGTACCAGTGTAGATCTGGATCAGGGTCATGCAGGTGGCTTGAGCAGATCCCAGCCTGTTCATGTTCAGTCTAGCCTCTTTCTCTTGTTGTTTACATTCCTGGTGAAGTAATTTGGTTTATTTTCCTTTCCTTATTGGTGTATATTTATTATATATGCTTCTTTATTATGACACTTTTACACATGTATACAATGTATTTTTATTATATTCACCCCTTACACCCTCTCTTGCTCCCCTCCTACTTCCAATGATCCCCTTACTTTTTCCAACCAACACCTCTTCTGCTTTTCCTGTGTGTGTGTGTCTGTCCCAATGAGTTTCATTAAGGTTGCTTACAAGACCATGGGCACTTACTGGTATCTAGACCACTGTGGGGGAAGGGGGTGTCTTTCTCTTCCAGCAACCATTAAATATGTGAAAGTAATTTTTTTTTTTTTCGAGACAGGGTTTCTCTGTAGCTTTGGAGCCTGTCCTGGAATGCGCTCTGTAGACCAGGCTGGCCTCAAACTCACAGAGATACGCCTACCTCTGCCTCCCAAGTACTGGGATCAAAGGTGTGCACCACCATCGCCTGGCTTGTGAAAGTAATTTTTTAAAGGTGTATTTATTATGTGTGTATGTGTGCCTGAGTGATGTGCACCATGTGTGTGCAGGAGCCTGCAGAGATCAGTCAAAAGAAGGCATTGGATCCCCTTGAAGTTGGATTGCAGAAGATTGTGAGGCGTGTGGGTACTGAGAACCGAACCTGAGTACTCTAGATGAGCAGTAAGCACTCTTAACCATGAAACCATTTCCTCTGCTCAAGCCATCGGTTTTTACATAACGCCATAACACTATAATCTTACTCCTTCAACCATCCCTAGTCATGGACATTGTTTCCATTTGGCAGCTATGAAAACCCAGGCTGGGGAGATGTTGGTTGATCTATGAATCTGGTTAAGTGGCAGAGCCAGTACCAGAATTCAGGTCTTCCGATGTCCCCAGCCGTGTGTTCTTTTCATGTCACCCAAAATTTCCCCCTGTTTGCTCCCTGTTCAACTCAAGACAAAGATTTTGCCTTTCTGAGTTTTGGGTCCCTGTCAGTTAACGAAAAACAGAAGCTAGACATAGATCCTGAGGCAGTGGGTGAGGTGGCCATTAGCACTGGTTATCAGATATAAACTGAGCAGCCTGGGAAGTTCCAGGAGAGGAATGAATCCATATGCTGTGATTTCTGAAACACTCTGCCCAGGATAATCAGCAGGGATCAAGGCCAGAATGGAAGCCAGGCAGAGGACCCAATCTTCCTGTGCTGCCCCTAGGGCTGGTTCTGGGATGGTGGAAGCATTTTGACAGCTCGCTAGGGAGCCACAGAGTAGTTATAACATCCAGTCCCACCTCTTTCCCAGGGTTGCACTGAAGATGAAATGAGATCATTATTAGCATGGGGGCATTTGAAATAGGTTGAAAACACTGAAATGAATGGAAGGCATTAGCGGCCACAGGGTGCCTTCTGTCTGCCAAGCAGGGGTCCAAGACTGACATCTTTGTTGTTAGTTTAACTCTTTCCTTACCCTGCTTTTTTTTTTTTTTTTTTTTTTTTTTTAAGTGCATTATCACAACTGTGTAGAGCCAGGCTGAAAAGGTCTCAGAGACCTCGGGAGTCCGGGGAGCTTTCCCTTCTCTATTCTGCAATTAACTCTTCCCCACGTTCTGAGTTAGCCATCTTCTGCACTTCTTATTCTCTGCCTCTGCCATTCCTTTCCTCTAGTTCCTGCCACCCCCACCCTGGGCCAGCTAAGTGCATCTGAGTCGACCCAGTGCCCTCCTTCAGGGTCTGACTCATCTTCCAGTCTGTCTTGCCTGCTTTCCCTGCCTGCTACCCTCGAGGCTCCTGATTCTCTTTGTTCTCTGGATGTGCACAGATGCCATGCCTGTCTCCTCTAAATCTTTCTCTTTTAGAACTCTCTGTTTGGCTTTTACCGCATTTACTTTGGGCCTCACAATGTTAAGAGTACAGATGGTGTGAGTTTGTGATTGTGACCCGTGCCCTTTGTACCATTAATCATTAGCAAGCCACATACTTAGATCATATTTCCAGGGGGCTGGGGGACTTGATAGTAATCTTATTCTGTGAAGTAGGAGGAATAAGTAACATTACAGACTAACAGTACAAAGGCTCAGCTCTCTGTAACCAAACACATATGTAGAGGAGGCCCTCCCCAGTCATATGTAACTGTGCAAGAAAATTTGCAAGTGATTGCTTTATTTTGAAGCTAACTTATTTATTTATTTATTTATTTATTGAGATTGATATCAATTTGACAAACTTTGAAAGGAAGCTGTTTAAGGTAGGCAAGACACAAAACCCAGGCTGAAATGGAAGAGAGGCATGTGTAACATTGGAGTGATTCTGCAGGAAGCAGGTCTACAGAGTGAGGAACAGGGATTCTGGCCAGAGCCCAACTCTCTCGTCTGTGGTGGGTTCAGAAAAGAAACCCTCAGAAACAGCCACCAAAGCCAGAGGGATGAGATCACCGCACAGAGGACAAATCTAACTGAATATTCATTGTCCCCTTTGTGGGTTCCTCTTCTGCCTCCTGTGTTGGAGAATGAGCCTTATTCACATATCGGGTTAGCAGACAGGAAGTTTCAACCCAAGCATTAACAATCTCAGCAATAAAAATGAGGTTTATTAAGATCGACTTCATGCTAACTATATGCAAAAAATGCAAATAGGCCATTAGTTC